CCGGGTATGTACTAGTACAGCACTGGAACGAAGCAGTTTGCTATATGATAGCGCCATGCACAATACGTCCCCTCGTTGACGGTCTTCTCCAGACGTGACGGAATGCTGTGCATATGCGCACTCGGCCGTCAGCGTTGAGCAACAAGCATAGTGTGTTGCGCCCGCACGACCGAGATCGCGCTCGTCGCTGGCCACCACAGGTGTCGCATACCAAAGCTGACGACTTGCTGTGGCGAATTCTGTGACCTCGAACAGCACTCGTTCATGGAGAGCGACCACGCCTTTGCGACTGGCCGCCATCCGCCACAGTGAGTGCACCGCTCGAGTCCTCTACGCGAGCCGTCCTATCCTTCGCCTTCTTCTGCACCCACTCGGCGGCCTCGTCGACAGCGGCATACGGCCGCGTCTTGTAAGCCATGAGATATCCCTGGAGGGTCGCCATCGAGAAGGTGCGTGGGGGGATGATCTCGGCAAATCGATCCGCGAGGGCTGCGGCCTCTGTTGCGGAGAGGTGCGAGGTGCGGGAGTTGTGCACTGAGCCGGGGTATACGCTGGACACCCCTTCGGGCATTGGGGAGGTACCGGGTGAAGACGTTGGCCCTAGCGAAGAGGAGGAGTCGGTCCGGGATTTCTCCTCAACTGGGACCGGGCGAGAGGAATCTCCCCCTTCTCCACTGGCACTCGGGGCATACAGGTAGAAGCGCTTGAACAGCTCCTTCACCTGGTACGCGCTCGCGAGGTGAAACTCGACGTGCAAGTCGAGTCGGCCAGGACGGAGAAGCGCAGGGTCCAGCGCACCGTAGCTGTTCGTCGTCGCGAATAAAATGCGCCCCTCCTGAGCCGCGATCCCATCCAAGGCGTTGAGAAGGCCACTTAGCGTGACTCCGCCCATCTGTGTCTCGCGACCGGCGTCTCCCTTGTCCTCGCTGGGAGCCGCAGCGGGAGTCGAGTGGGCCTCGGGATCGACGATGTCGCGCTTGATGCTGCGCGTGAACGCCGCGTCAATATCCTCCATGAGAATGATGCACGACTTGGGCAGGTTGGAGATGAGTGATTTGAGGCTGTTGTCGTTGAGGCCTGACACCGTCAGAGAGAGGATGTAGACGCTGAGGTTGAGCTCTCCGGCGATAGTGTGGATCATCGAGGTCTTCCCGGCACCCGGTGCACCATGCAGCAGGTAGCCCCGGCGGAATGGGATGCCTGGCAGAGTCAACGCGGCCATGTCAGAGAGTGAGCTGCGGTGGGGCAGCATAGAGCGCACCTCGGTCGGCATACCACTTCCTGCTGCTCAAGAAATCTTTTGCGTCGTCCAAGACGAGTTCGAGTACTCCAGGATCGAGGATCACTGAGCACTGAGGACGCTTGGTTTGCATTGCGACGCGTCGCCATCGGTCGCCACTGCATCAGGCGGTCAGCTCAAGAGACTCTAAGAGGGCAGATACCAGAGATACTTACTCCTCTGCGACGCTGACTTCGATGAGATCCTCGTTCGCCGCCTTGTAGGCCTTCCGAGCTTCGCGGAGCAGATCACGGAGCAGGGCCGGACTCCTCGTCAGCATGCTAGACAACCACGATACGTCAACGCGTGTTAGCAGTAGACAAGCTCGAGAGGACTATACCGCAGTTGCAGGTAGTCTGTGGAGCGTCCGAAGGCATTCGTCACACGGTCGCGGCCGATGACCATGTACCGCCGCTTGTACCACATAGAATACGTCTGCTCCGTGGAAGGAAGGAAGACGACGTTGTCTTCCGCATCTGGGTCATCGTTGTCGCCAAGGTCGTCGATCATGCCTCCACGCGTGCTAACTTCGATGTCACGAGCATATTCTGGAACGCAAAACGAAGTTAACAGTTCGTTCGTGTGGCCAAGCCAGATGCGAAGACTTACGGAAGACCTTTTCCTTGGACAGCCAGTGCATCAACCAATCTGGGGCGCGCACCATCGCAGTTAGCGTCCGCGGTATAGCTGACTAGTATCATCACGCACCCGCGGCATCGTCGTCGAACTCGAAAGTGGCAGTGACCCACAATGACCTAGTGAGTTTCTCCCATGCCGTCCTGAGGGAGCGGCGCAGCCCTTCCACGAGTGCGCCTATGAGGAGGAGCTTCGCCCAGTCCCAGAACGCAGACGCCGAGAGCAGCATGAAGACCATCCGAGGGAGCGAAAGCGCATCTGGTGACTCTGAAGAATGCGTGGCGAGGGGGGATGAAGGCGCAGATGGACACTGGGACCCGGCTGCGGTAGCTGTGGTGTTCTCCGGCGTTGGACCAGGATTCAAGGCGGAAAACACGGCCTGCAGGATCTGGGCTGCGTCCATCTTCAACTTTGGGAGGGGTGCTAGTGCTTGGTATGTGGAGATGCGCAGACGGTTGCAGCGCCTTGGGGCCGTAGTCGTGCTGAATACGGGAGTGCTCTCTATATAGCTCGAAGACCGAGGACGTCGTCGGGCTTGCAGTCAGGTCAAGTCATGGTCTGTCGGAACCGGGGCCTCGCTTCGACCCAGCGACCCGCATCCGAAGTTCATCAAACTAGCCTCAAGTAAACACGAGACGGAAGAGGATCGTACATTGCCTTCGTGGAGAGGAAGGTTTGCCGGAGTACCACAGGCGGCATCTAGACATCTGAGACACGCACTGCAGCGCGGCTCCGGGGACACTGCCTACGACAGATTTGCTGGAATTAGAAGAGCGACAGAGTCGGAAGACTCGGACTCGTTGTCCTTGGAGTCCTGTCGAGACATGCATGCATAATTCCTCGCAGCAAGCTGCAAGAGACTTCTCACCGGGTAGGCTGGAGCGGGGATAATGACCCTATGAGCCCTACAGAGGTAGGCCTGCCGGTGCCATTGACGGGTTTACTTACTGGCTAACCGCGTACCGCTATCATGCAACAGCGGCGATCATGTCCAACAGCTGGTAGAGCACCGGCATGTACCCCTCTTGCCTACCGCCATCCTACGTAGCCAACCATATCCCATCCCCTCCTTCAAGAGTAAGACTTGCTCCGTGGGCCAGCCAGAGGAACACAAGCGGAGAAATGGACCTCCAGCGTCGCAACAAGACCCAGAGGAGGGACAGAGCGGATAGGGGAGCTTCAAAATGAGGAGGAGCCTGCGAAGAACTTGAAGAGAGCAAAGCGGGGACCAGCGCCCACGACCCGTTGCAAGGCGGAATCACGTGGGTCGCGTTACATATGGTGCCGTGATCAGGTCGCAGCGAATTTACGTCCGGGTTTTCCTTCAAGTTCTCGTCCGATGGCCTGGCAGTGGCATGACGCCTCTTCACCGCACCCTGCACCCCGACATCGATGTTCATCGCTCGGCTGAAGCACACTAAGTCTCTAGCACGACGCTTGCCAGCGAGCAACACACCCCTACGACTATTGCGACGGAACATGTCTACCGAACTCCCGCAATCCTCAATACCGCTCTTCCCTACGGTCGCCTCGTACAGAGAATGGCGGAGGAAGGCCTATGAGGAGAAGAAGGCTGTCGGGTTCGTTGCGACGATGGGCGCGTTGCATGAAGGACATCTCTCCCTCGGTGTGTCGCAAAGTGACATCGCGCATCTCCCCATCTCACATCCCGTTCAGTCCGCCGTTCACTGGCGGAGAACGACCTCACCGTCCTCTCGATCTTCGTGAACCCGGCCCAGTTCGCGCCCCACGAAGACCTAGCGACGTACCCTCGCACGCTGCCCCGCGACCTCGAGCTGCTCTCCGCCGTCTCCGTCTCCGGCCGCACCGCCGCCGCGGTCTTCGTGCCGACGGTTAGCGAAATGTACCCCAGCGGGATCGTGCAAAGCGTCGACCAGCAGAAGGGCACCTTCGTCGAGGTCAAGGGCTACGGGCACCAGATGGAGGGCAGGACGCGCCCGGCCTTCTTCCGCGGGGTCGCGACGGTCGTCACGAAGCTGTTCAACGTCATAGAGGTACGCATGTCCCTCCAGGCTCTGAGAAGGCCGGCGGGTAGTGACAGGTGCACAGCCCACGCGCACGTACTTTGGGCAGAAGGACATCCAGCAGGCTCTGCTGCTTCGGAGGATGACACGCGACCTTCTGCTCTCACACCCGGAGCCGGAGAACCTCTTCATCGTTCCCACCGCACGGTGAGCAGTCTGTGGCTATGGCTGGGAGCTGCTCTGATCACACCATGCAGAGATCCCAAGACGTCCCTGGCGCTGTCGTCCCGCAATGCCTACCTAACCGAGCACGAGCGAGAGAACGCTGCGCCTACGCTGTACGCGGCTCTCGACGCAGCCAAGTCCGCGTGGGAGGCGGGCGCACCAAAAGCCGAGTGCATCTCGCGCGCATACGCCGTCGTGAAGCAGAAGAAAACGGATCTCGGCGACACCGTCGACCTTCGGTTGGACTACATCGAGATGAACGACCCGGAGTCCTTCGACGAGCTTGACGGGAGAGTGTCTCGTGCAGAGTGGGAGGCAGAGAGCGCAGCGCGGCCGGTGGTCCTCAGTGGGGCGATGTATGTCGGAAAGACGAGGCTCATCGACAACATCGTGCTGGGAGCAAGGCGCACCTTGGGCATAGTGGAGTGAGTGTACGGCTCGCAAACTCTGGCTGTGTACATGAGATACCGCATGGGCCGGGTAGCGGAAGATGGACTACGGCCGCGTGAACCGCCAGGACAGAAGCAGACTCTCCCGCTCCACGAATATATCTCATTCGCCGCCCCTCAGTCGCTCTACGTGGCCGATACAGAGTCGGGGATTAGTCAGGCTTCAAGCATAGAATCCCTGTCGGAGGCTAGTGTCCATGCCTTCATCGAAGGAAAGCGTGAGCATAGAGTTCGAACTTCACGAGGAGATATGGCGGAAAGCACAGTCTATCCAACCTGCCTGAAATGCACCACGTACTTTAGATATCTGGCACTACAATACGTTCCTCAGACTGTGTGTCGATGTCAGGCTTGGTGTCATGTGGATCGAATCAGCCTGCACTGAGCAGAAAAACAGAGACTCTTGAGGTGGGAGGAGTATTTATACGACACCAGTAGGGTTCGAACCTACGCTCTCAGAGAGAAACAGATTATCGCATCTGGACATGAGCCAAATATTCTAATCTGTCGCCTTAACCACTTGGCTATAGTGTCATAGGAAAGCGCCTTCCAGCTGCTTACACAATCGCAGAAGCTCGTGAAGAGAACGTGCTTCACTTGCTGCTCCGGCCTGCTTCTCTCCTGTGGGCCTCTTTCAGCGTAACCATCCTGAAGACACGATCTCGTACTAACGGACTTGAGATCTGGGCAATTGACTAACTGGCCGGCAGAGAACTCGTCGGAGGTTGAAGTAGCAGGGAGGAACGTTGATATATCGCGGCATTTCCCCGTAAGTTCTTCTCCATCGCGCTACTCCCCAGCCCGCTATATGATCACTGCTTCCCTCGATGTTTGCCCTGGTTGTTGAGCAACCCGAGTTGCTCTATGCAAGGGATATCTTAAACTGCCCAGAGGGCCAGCACGCTCGCCGCGGTACAATCTCACATTCTGTTTTGTCCCGCTGTACTGCAATTGACCATCGTAACCGCTGTGGAAAGGTGCTGACCCATTGGTTCTCAACTCAGTGAATTACTGGTTACTCAGCTGGCTGCTTATCGGCAATGGCGACCGAACCAGCTAATGTATCGCGTGCGGCCCTGGAGCTCACCTATGTTCTATGTGAGTGCACTTCTCGTTCACTGACGTCCGTGACACGACCAACAATTCCATTAACAGCGACCTGAACAGACGACGAATCTTCTTCCTTGGCCCAAGTACTCGCACTCCTCACGCTGAGCCCCATCTTATTGAACGTGAGTGCGCCATGATTGAGGGGACGGAGAAGGGAACTGATACGTAACACGACGACGGGACTAGCCCGCATATGCTGCTCTGACGGTGTGGACGCGAGAGCTTGTATTCCTGGAGATGTGGGCGGGGCAGATGCTGTGTGAGGCGAGCAACTATGTGTTGAAGCACATGATCCGGCAAGACCGTCCGAATCGTGAGTCTCGTCTTCCGGACCCTCTCGTCCTTCCCACTCCCAGATTACCGACACGACGCTATCCCCGCGCAGAGAACTTGGGCGACGGGTACGGCTTCCCGTCCTCGCATAGCCAGTGGATGGGCTACTTCGCAAGCTTCCTCTTCCTCCACTTCTCCCTCCGCCATCGCTGGGTCTCGACCGGCTCCGCGTTCCTCGACTACGCGCGAGACGTTCTCTTGTTCGCATTCATCCTCTCGTGGTCCGCCGCAGTCGCGTTCTCCAGGTATGCCTCTCTCGTTCGGAAACTCACCCCATTGTCACCGACACGATTATTTATCGCGCAGGTACTACCTGTCATACCACACCGTCCCGCAGGTCCTCTGGGGCTTCGGCATTGGAGTCGCCTTCGGCTCCACGTACTACACGCTCGTCGAGCTTATCCCGACGCGCTGGCCCAACTCCCTCTTAGGACGGTTCCGGACGGCGCTGCTCACCAACCCCGTGTGTGCGTGGTTCCGTTTGCGAGATGGGTGGGCGGTGTGGTCAGATGCTGGGACTGAGGTGCAGTATGCGAGGTGGAGGGAGGAGTGGGATAGGATGAGAGCGTCGACTGCGAAGGCGAAAGACGAGTGACCGGACCGAGGTGAAGTATCCCCAGAGCTTAGGCTGTGACTGGAGTGAGGGCTAGGTTGCGCCTTGGATGCTCGCTACGTTGGATGTACGAGGTGTAGATGGAATGGCGTCTTGGTTAGTTCGCCCATGCATCCGGACGGCGCACTGACCGTACGTGCGATTGCACGACATGCGTTGCGCTGCTGGAAGGTGCCACAGGGGCAGCCTGAGCCTATGAGAAGTTGCGCAATCCTAACGACGACTGTGGAACCCTGGATGGAACGATGAAGTTTGTGTTCATCTAACCCCGCGCGGACAAACAATCTGCAAGCCCTACCCCGCCGGGTGAATCGTACATCACCGCCACCAGGTCCGCTACCCCGTACCGTTCCCCGGATCTCGAGATCGCATCCTTCTCACTACCACCACAAGATCCACTTCGCCTCGTCCTCCAGTACGGATGCCACGAGTTTACGTTAAGCCAGCGTGAAGGAAGCATATGCTCGAGACGCTGCGGCGTTGCTGTCTGTCACTCGAAGCCTTCGCGGACGTGGGCGCCGCGGTCCTGACCGGCAAACGCGCAGGAACGCCAGTCTGATCTCTATCGTTCTCGCGGCGAACCCATGACCAGGATTCTCTTGTGCCGCCCCAGATATGCCCGGCAATCCTGCTTTTCCGCGGCAGATGGGGCCGTCCTGACGCAGGCGGGGTGGAAGCTGACTAGCACTGCGAAACAGACATATAAACCAGCCACGGGCGAAGTTTGGCGGCCCGTTCCCAACACCCTGCCATTCAGCACCCACGGCTTGCTCTGCGTCCGCGACCACGGCCCTTCGCCATTCAGTACGCCCGTCGTCATTGGAGCCCCCACGCAGCAGCCATGTCCGCGCCGACCGACCCCGAGAAGCAGACGGTGAAGACGTCCGCCGCGTCGACGTACTCGGACGAGAAGGGGCGCGCGTCCCAAGTCGAGCGCATCTCGCCCGACGCGGGGGCGAAGCTCGAGCATCCGCTGTATAACCCGCATGTCGATGTCAGCGGGGTGGACGAGCGCAAGTTGATGCGCAAGCTCGACCTGTACCTCGTCCCGTGGCTGTCGTTCCTGTACCTTCTCAGTTTCCTAGACCGGACGAGCATCGGGAATGCGAAGGTGCGTCGTGCTCACTCTCGATGCGCTGGACGCGAGCTGGTCGTCGTTCGGGCGGGCAGCTCTACCACATGGAGCAAGACCTACATATCACGGACAAGCAATACCTCATCGCGCTCACGATTTTCTTCTTCTCGTACGCGATATTCGAGGTCCCGTCCAACGTCTTCCTCAAGCGGCTGAGGCCGTCAGTATGGCTCTCGCTCCTCATGCTCCTCTGGGGCGTCATGATGGTACGTCGCGCGAACTCTGCCCACCCGCACCCCGAGTACCCACCTCTCTCGCGACTTCCAGACCGTGCAAGGATTGGTGCACAATTATGGCGGCCTGCTTGGTAAGTCTCTTGCTCGAATAGTCCACGTCGTGACGGTTTGACGTCGTTCTCACATATGCTGCCTCGCAGGCATGCGGTGGCTGCTCGGCATGTTCGAAGCCGGTCTGTTCCCGGGTGTGAACTACTACCTCTCATGGTGCGTCTTCGCGAACTTCGTGCGCGCGGCCTTCTGTCGGTTGAATGCGCTCGCTGACTGTATGGGACACATACGTACAGCTGGTACAAACGCTCCGAGTTCGGCATCCGCGCCGCTGTGTTCTTCTCCGCGGCGACTGTGTCCGGTGCGTTCGGTGGATTGCTCGCGGTACGCATCCGATGCATCTTACTTCCCTCGGAACCGAAGCTGACCAACTGTCTCCGATGCTTGCTTCTCTTCCTCGGTATGTCGCTCTACTCTGTTCTCATGAACCTTCGTGCGCTGTTCCCGGGACATACCTTGGTGCGTGCAGGCAGCAATCTCGAACTTGGACGGTGCGGGAGGCAAGCCGGCGTGGGCGTGGATCTTCATCATTGAGGGTCTCATCACGGTCGTCGCGGGCTTCATGTCTTTCTGGATCATCCAGGACTTCCCGGACACGGCGAAGTTCTTGAGCGAGGCGGAGCGCACCGTGGTTGTTCGTCGCCTTCAATCGGACGACCAGTTCAGCGCAGCTGGTGAGAATCTTCGATGGCATTACATCTGGCGGAGTCTGCTTGACTGGAAGACTTGGGTTGGAAGTGAGTCTTCAGTGCGATTGCTTACTTGCGCACAAGACTGACTAGCTTCACAGTGCTGCTCTATATGGGAGCTGATGGCCCCCTCTACGCGTTCTCGCTCTTCCTGCCTAGCATCATCAATGCCCTTGGTAGGTCCAGCGCCCCAGATCGAGTTCGTGCTAGACTCACGTTGTCCCGTAGGATACACCGCGACTCCCGCGAACCTTCTGAGTGTCCCGGTGTACGTGGTTGCCTGTATCGTAACCTGCGCAGTTGGCTGGGCCGCGGACCGCTACGGCAACCGCGGATACCTCACCATGTAAGTCCACCCTCCCCTGCTGTCCTGTACCATGGACTCATACCGATGACAGGGCGTCATTGTCGGTTGGGCTGGTGGGATACATCATCCTGATCGTGTCGCGCAACGCCACGCTCTCGTACGTTGCCGTGTACCTGGCTGCGTGCGGTATCTACCCGACGATCCCGAACATCATCGCATGGGTGTCAAACAACGTCGAGGGCTCGTACAAGCGCAGCGTCTCGATCGCCATGGTCATCTCCTTCGGCAACATCAACGGCGCGTCTCTTCGAACGTCGTACGTACCTTGTCTTCTTGCTTTGTCCGTGCATCCCGCTCTGACGCACGGATTCGCACGCAGTACCGCGCACGGGACGCACCATGGTACACCCTCGGGCATGGCATCGTGCTCATGTACATTGCGATTGGGCTCGTCATGGCGATCATTTACCATATCTTCCTACGGCGCGAGAACGCGAAGCGCGAGCGCGGCGAGCGGGACGAGATCATCAAGGGCGTCAACGACGGGCGGACGGAGCTCGCGAAGAACGGGACGTACGCGAGCGTCGCGGAGGCGAAGCAGGACAAGGGCGACGAGTGGAGCGGGTACCGTTACACGCTATGAGGGGGGGCACCTGCAGTAGACGGTAGACGAATGCGACGACGGCGACGAGTTATGTGTATGTGTAGCTTACGACCACGCCTTGTATATATAGTCTCTGTACCATTCCCTTCGGGAGTCCGCGCGGGATTGGTGGCGGCGGGCGGGCGGAAGGCCGGGTACTGGTTGTGCGATCCCGTCCTACCGTCCTTCTCGTTCCAAGCCTGATGCATGATGGTTCAACCGCATACCGGAGCATACGGTAGGGTTTATGTGGGGCGTCCTTTCTTCCTACGCAGGTGGAAGCTGGCTGTCATGCATTCATGTCCCATTGATCCCTATCGGCGTAATGAAGTTGCGATCCCTACCGTTGAAATACTTGTGAACCGGGTTCACGACGGTCCTGTGCGTTAAATATGGTGACTCGAATCCTGACTTACGAAGTGGTACTAGTGTTACAAGACGCATCCGATCAGACTTGAGGTTGTTCTCACAAAGTCGGAGGGACAAGTTCTTGTGGACATCTCCATTAAGTGTAATACATTCATCGTACTGTGGAAGGTCGCCGTCCGGGACACTATAGCCAAGTGGTTAAGGCGACAGATTAGAACGTGTATACACACGGTTTGCACTTTATCTGTTTCTCTCTGAGAGCGTAGGTTCGAACCCTACTGGTGTCGTCGCGCTTGCCAGATATCGTTTTCGTCTTTTTGTCCAGCCGACCTTGAGCAGGCCATCCGAACAGATACGGCTTCTTCTTCGCCTCCACCACCACCACCTCCTCCATACTTGCTTGTGCGCGCCAGCTGCGTCCGCACAAACTCCACCCAGTTCCATGGCGTGTGAGTTACAGCCATCGATCGGCCGTAAACCTACTCACATGATGCTAGTTAGTAGCTAGTGACTTGTGGCAACAAAACACCGCTCAGAGCCAACTCCGAACCCGTCACGGTACTTACGGTGCGCCATCGTGAATGCAATGGCAGTAAACCTAAGCTAAGCTGGTCTTCCTGCTACCACTTGTGGCCGACTGCGTGGAATCCGAACCGCCACGCGGTGTCGTCACGTCATCCTGTCCGACAACCAGCTCCGATGCTGCTTGGGACCATCGTTTCAGCAGTCATTTCCCGCCACTCTCCTGCGCTACTCCCGGATTCAGTTGAAGCACTCCCATCCCGGTCCTATATGAAGACACAATCTTCTCGGAGACGTCAGAGATGGCGATGGCGGATGCGCCTACTAGTCCATGCGGCGAGCATCTCACCAACTCCCGTCGAGACTTATGCGCGCCGATCGGTCGATCGACGCTTTGCGCTGGAGTATAAGACTCACCAGTAGCATTTGGGGTCAAGTCCATTTCCCAGCTCTAGAGGAGTCAGTGCCGACTCAGAACCCACCGTCATCCGGCTCTCTGCTGGCCATGTCAACCAATGAAGATGCCCGAGCTGCGGCGATTGTCGACCTGTATGAGATCGTGTACGTTCTCTCCGACCGCCCCGTGACGGAACACTGATCGCGCTTGCTGTGACCGCCGAATAGGTCTACCGGAAACTACTGTGACGTGGCGACTTCCGGTAGGTTCACATTATCGCAAGCTCATGTCGTGAGCTAAACTCATCCTTTTGTCCCGTCGTAGTACTGTTCATTTACGATGCCATCGTCACCTTCAACTGAGAATCAGCATGCTTCTGCAGCGCCGAGCGAACCGGGACGTCGCTCTTGTTCTTCGCCAACAAGGGCATCTCCTTGACATTCTATGTCATGCAGTTAGTCGGCTTTATGTCTTTCCCTTCTGGCGAAGTGAGGAACGCTCTCCCCAACTTGCCAGTGTTGCACCGTCGCTGACTGTATCCAGAGGTTAGTATCGCTGCGCCAGAGCATTCGAGGATAGTTGTCTGACAACCGAACATCCTCAGTTGTTCTTCGTTTAGCCAGGCACTGCATGCAGTTCTGGTTCTCCAGATGATCCCTTGGGCTGGTGAGCTTGCTCCCGGCAGTCGTACTATGCACGCAAGTTCTGATGCCTCGCTGCCAGTGTTCTCCGCCCTTCGCGCCTACGTACTAAGCAGGAGCAAGCTCCTCGGATGCCTCGTCTTTTCTCTGTCTGCTGCACCAGCGGCTGCTAACCTGGTCAGTGTCACGACTCCCTTCCAGACTCGCGTGCGAGCATGGACTGATTCTGTGCTACACAGGTTCCCTATGGCTACGGTCTGTCGGGGGTCATCCTCGCGAAATATGGCATCGGGTGCATATCTACGGATAACACGAGCGCGGACATCACCTTGAGGTATGGTTCCTTTGATGAACTTCTATTCAAACTCGGACTCACGTCGTACAGACGTAGGTTAGCTCGCAGACTCTGCAGTAATGCTTGCTCATCCCTGACGAACAATCACAATTGCATCGAGAGCACCCCTCATGACTGCAGACATCCTGCTGATCTGTATCACCTGGACAAAGCTGAGCAGTCGGGATATTCTGAGAGGCTTCCGACACTCGAAGAGGCCAACGCTGTCTGACTTGATTCTCCGCGACGGTGCGTGTCCTTCAATTTGTCTAGCCTGTTGAGAAGCCTTGCCTACCCAGATGTCGATGTCCGCGCAGGAACCGTCTACTTCATGTGCGTCTGTCGTACAGCAGCCCCGGGTCATTCTGACGGGTCCTCGCGTCGATGTCAGTGTATTGTCCCTCCTAAACATCCTGCATCTCACACTGTCTCTCCTTTCGGTGAGCTCCGTACTGAAATATGTATTCAGCTTACCATCTTTTGACGTAGTCGCGTCGTATTACTCGGCAGGCGACAATCAATGGTACTGGAGGTAGTTTCGTCACACTGTTCACCGCCCCGTACGCCCCTCATCTGAGCCCGTGCTGCGACTCACTTGCTCACTGAAATGCTCTATTGGCAGCGTCACCGCGATCCTCGTGTCGCGCTTCCTCCTCGAGCTGCAGGAAGCCAACCAGACAGTCGTCAGACTCGACCCGGACGATCCGTTGTACTCCTCGAGAAGCCCGTACTATGACTCGGACACGCCAAGCTTCATCTCATCCCTTGGAGGGTTCATTAATCCGGACCTTCCCCGCAGTGACGGTAGTCTTGAACTGGACCTTCGCTCAAATTCAGGCCTCCCGGACGACGATGCGATCTGGCAGGATACTACGCCGTCGTCTTCCGCTTAACGCACATCCGGTCCGTTGTGGCTTCTTACGACGCGGCATCCCCCGCCACCGCATCATCATCATCATGCGGAAGAGCCCTACGGTTTCGTCTCTTCTTCGCGCCTCGTTGATTTCATTATGGTGCCTCAGGTTATGGGATTTAGCTAAGGGTACGTGGATATGTAGATCACACGCCTGCTTCAGAGCGCTGATGATAGCACCGGATTGCTAGGTCAGTGATAGCCTGTTCTACGTATTGATCTCGCTGCGTCGGTGTAAATTTCCGATGTGCGATGCTATTCGAGATTCCTGCATCATCAGGTTCTGGCTTCGCCGCGGTCGACTGTGCATCGCGCATGCAGGACCGTCACAGGACGCGAACCTCAAGCGAGTGCATGGCTCACCTGGGAAACCGGCATACCTGAACGTTCAGATCACCTTCTCACTGGTTTCTTTACCACAGCTTGACCACAGCTGGGGAGTTCAATCTCCTGAACCGCCTGTCCAATCCTTTCGTGACGATCGCATGCAGCACCGTCTCAGGAAGTTCGCGCAAGTCCTCTTTACCCCCCGCGCAGTCCGTTCTGACATAGTTGGATATGGCAGGCGCACCCCTCAACAATCATCGCCTGCGACGTCGAAACTGCTGCGCAGTGTGGTGCTTCAATATAAGGATCGGTTCTGCCACGGACGTCTCTGCAGTCGCTCCTTGGCCCTCGACAACGGTGCGAAGATCATCCCTACACTTCATCATGATGCGATGCAAATGCAAATGCCGCTACCGTGGCCCTATCCGATAGCGTCTCTGTTGCATACCCGCCTGTGGAAACAGCTACACCCAAGCTTACTGCGCTTTAGCAACCTCGGGGGCGTTCGCGCAGTTTGCTGCAAGCTCGTCCTGATAGAGATGACCTCGCTCTGATCGCAGTTCTCTTCATCCACGACGCTTTCAACACAGCCGGGCTGATCGAGAAGCAGCATGCTTCTAGACTACCAAGTGAGTTGGGGCCTGCTGGGATCTGCTGGGACTTCAGAGTCACTGTGACTCACTGATGCTCCTCGCGAATAGGTTCTCACTGGCACTGGCAGCAGAGCACTTAGCTGAGTTTGTGGGAAGATACTTGAACATACCTCTGTGAGCATCTCAGATCTCCGGAAATTGACAGACCTAAGCAGACGAGGATTGACAGGGATTGACCTAGGTCGGTCGAGCGGATTGCCTGTCGCTCACCCCAACGTTCATCCATACTGGCCCGGGACGAGACGGCGGCCACTTTGGCTGGTCTGCCACGAGGCGAAAGTGTCCATTACCCGTACTCTGCCCATCGAAGTCGAGTAAGTGCAGTCTTCTGCAGGGCGAGATGGCCAACGAGACGCGGCATCGCACCCCGGGGAACAGCCCTCTACTCGCAGTGCGGAGTATCAAGTCGCCGGTAAGCAATGGTCTCACAAGCGGGTTGATCATGTGTCTATATGGCGCTAGACTGCGTACAGTTTCTTTCAATGTGGCTATGAACTCCAATTCAACTTGAGCGGCTTCAGCGTCCTTATCAGGTTTTGATGCGTATTTACTACTCACTTCCCGCAGTGATTGCCTGCCATTTATCTGCACCGGTGGCATAGAGTGGCATATTCGGAGGGCCGCAACTGTGCTACATACACTTTCGTGGGCTGGCGAAGACGTTTGAACTTCGAGCTCGGAGTCTTCGCTTCGGTCGCCTGTGCGTCGAACCACGGGGCCACGGCTTCGAGCTGGTACTTCTCTGCGTTCTCTCAGGGCGATCGCATGATTGACCATCGAAATTACAGGTTCAGATTTATCTAACTGCTGCTGTCTAGTGCCCGATTGGCTAGATTCACATGGACTCACTCCGTAGTCTTCAATACCAGTAACCGCAGTGTTCGCATGCAGCGTGCCTGTACTCACGCAGCTCTTCTATCCCCGACGACACGATGGGATCAGATATGGCGGATGCCAGCGTGCGTATCCTGATATCTATCTGACGGTTGGCACACTGAGCGTTGACCTTACAGAGTCGTGCTCGATATAAGGCCTGGCTTGTGCGATGAATAATGATGATCATACCGAGCCAGCCTCGTTGACGTGAGGGTGACCTTTGGCATTCGACTTCACCATGTCCTCCAACGCAGATGCCGCCGCGTTTGCAAGCTTGTTCGACACTCTGTACGTCACACACTCTGCGAGTTCTCGCAGATGACACTTTCTGACACCGTCGAACAGCTACACGGAAAACTACTGCGCCGTGGCTGCCTCAGGTGCCTTTACCCCCTTCCCGTGACAAGCACGTCCTAGTCAAGCTGACGCTTCGCTCACCTTAGCTCTCTTTATCTACGAAACATTCGTCACATTCGAGCAAGAAGTGGCCTGCTTCTGGACATATGAGCGGGCCGCAGCATCAGTCTTGTTCTTTGCGAACAAGTGGAGTTACATGACGGTCTCCGTCACAAACTTAGTACAGCTTGCGAGTTTCCCTTCGGATAAGGTATGCAGTCTCGGTCG